AATCTGAAGTGTTAATACATGTTGTTTTCCAAGTGGTTCTGTCTTGTCTTCTCTTAAATGAGATTGTACATACGAAAGCAGCTAGCCAGCAGGTTCTCCGTGTATGTTAGCAGAGTATGTTTCTCATCCTCAAAAATACTGTTGTTAATAGCATGTCACCGTCTGAGGCTTTTAAACTTTTTTGTAAGCCTGTCTTCCAACTTAATATACCTTCAACATACTCCAGTTATGTTCAACTCCAGTATGTTGAAGGTATATTACACATACACAATGTCAGGCTGCTACCCCAGTCTTCAAAATGTTGGTATTCTGTGCCTTTTCTTTTGAAAATAGGATAAAATGGGGGGAAAACCTTTTTACATGAGAATAGCCTATGTCCTGAGTAAGCATAAAAAGCATCTATGTTTTTAAGCACCCCTGGGCGATTCACACAACCTTCTGTCTAGATTTAAGAGAGGCTGATAATTGAAAGGAAGAGTTTTGTTAACAGCAACAAATGTGGCAGAAGTGGAAATGTCGCTCTATTTTTGGATTTCCTCTGTGTTTGCTTTGAACTCATCTACTGATCTAATTTCTTCAGTGTCTGTGTTCACGAAGCTGCCAGGCTGTGCAGTGCTTGTCAGAATCATCCAAACTCATCAAACTCCTTTCAGGAAGAGAGCATCTCAGCACACCCTGGAGGAAGATTTTTAAGGAATACAGGAATTTTGTAAAAATAGAAGGATGAATAGAGGTAGGGCAGTTACATAACAGTGTTTGCAGATGAAAAGCCAGCCCTGACTGCTGTGGCTAGAACCCTTAACTGGGAGAAGATTGAGAAGCGGAGCCTGCCGGGAAGGGTGGCGAACTTTTTGCTCTGTGGTAGCTGAGGTGTACATTCTCTTTTAGGGCAGCACTGGGTATGCAGGCTCAGAGGGCCCTGGGAGACTTGGCTGATTCAGAGTGCAAATGTAAATCAGATCTTACCCAAACCTACCTTTTTGAGTTTCCTGGTTTGTTTTCTTGTTTTACATTCTCACAACTCCCAAAACTGGTGAGCAGTCCTCTCCCACCCACTCTGTCCCACCCCGCAGTACTTTCTAGTGGTGACTGAAGATACTGGACCAAGGTGGGGTCCTCAGGGACTAGGTGCAGACTGGGCATGTTAATTTGCCTGCACTGGGGTGGTGTCTTCCAGGCGGGGCTCCTTCAGCTGTCTGCTCAGGCTGAAGTCAGTGAGGGGCGATGGTTTTCCTTCCCCATTCCACCAGTGGGTGTCTCACTTCAGAATGCAGCCGATAAAACTCCTTAATCCTTAGAGCTATGGGGCTGGGCTGGGCAGCGTTAGAACTTCTGTGTGAATGCTGAGATCCTGCTCCTTTGTTCCTCTTTGGCTGGTTTCAGGCTGCCTGCCCTGTCCCTCATGCTGTGAGGTGCTCTCCCTCTCTCCAGTTCTTAGCTTGGGAAAAGCAGTTGATGGAGATGGGGACAAGAAGGGAGGACCTAAAAGGAGTTTCTGCCCTTTTTTAACAGAGAAGATTAGGGCAGAAACCAAAAGCTAGGAGAGAGGTCAGTGAAAGGTCTCCCCTTGGCCTTTGGAAGGCGTCAGGTTGATGGTGAAGGCGTCTGCGAAATAGCGAGAAGAGGTTCCAAGAAGTGGGTGGGTGGGAGTCACACTGTACTCTCCTGTCTGTAGCCTCGCCCCCCCCCCCCCCACATTCTCTGAGGTTTGTAGGAAAGGACAGAGGAGTGGGGTGTGGGGCAGGGATCCCACGAGGGAGACTGACGGTGAATGTTAGTAAGTCAGTGGCAAGGAGAAGACATCGGAGAAATTACATAACAAATTTTTATTGTGATCAGCTCCCAACATCACACAGGAAAGTAGAACCTCCATATTCCCACTGCTGAGATTAAATAATTATCAAGATTTTCTCAAGACTTGCTTCCAACATTCCCTTTTTCTTCCTTTTGTTTTGTTAAATAAAGCAAATTCCAGGTATCGGGTCATCTGTGTCAATATGCATCCCTAAAATATTTGGACACATAACTATGATGTAATTATTAATAATATCTCATTTACAAAGTTGGTTAAAATTCAAATTTCTTTTAATTGAGGTATAGCTGATATATTAGCTTCAGGTGTATACTGTAAAGAGTCAGTATTTGTGTATTTTGCAAAATGATCACCACAGTAAGTCCAGTTAATTAATATCTGTCACCACACATAGTTTCAAGATTTTGTTGTTGTTATTATGGGTATACATATTTCCAGCACTTTGAGAAGGTCATCAACCTGTAAGGTCCCCAAACCCCATAGTTTAGGGTTTTTTACCCATACTTTGGCATCGTTGATTAAATCACTGGCTATTGGTGATTAGACTTCACTTCCTGCTTCCCTCCTCCCCTAAGGTGAGGGGGGGAGGTGGAGCTGAAAGTTCCAACCTTGTCTACTGCTTGACCTTTCTGGTGACCAGCCCCCATCCTGAAGCTAGAGGGGCCACCAGTCACCTCAGGAGCATACAAAAGACACTTATCACTCCTGAGAGTCCAAGAGTTTTAGACCTGTGTTGGGAACCCAGGACAAAGAACAAATGTATATTTTTATTGTACCATACATGTTGAATCTAAAAAGCTCATGGTAAGCACCAAAACTTAAAGTAAGTGATAACTGTCTATATTTCGATATAATCAAGATTCCATTTTCTGTAACTGACTGGATGCTAGGTTATGAGCAGGGGTGCTTAGACCTGGCCTGGCTTCTCCCTGAGCCTACAGCATCTGGATACATGTAAATCTTTGCAGCGCTGGGTTTCTGGTGATGTGTTTTCATTGTCGCTTGTCTACCCTTCCCCATCAGCACAGAATTCATAACAGTTCAGATGTGTGTGTGCGCAGATTTTCCTATGTATATGTCTATCCACAGACATGTTAAATTTTTGGTACACTTTAAAACATTCATGTTAAAATTTTGTGTGTAATGCAGTTGAGTTGAAAATATTTTTATTTTGAAACTTTTCGCAATTGTGCAACAGAGAAGGTAGCACAGTGAAAACTCCTGTATACCCATCCCCAGATTCAACAGTTATCAAGATTTTGCCACATTTACTATTTTTAGAAAGAAATTCTTTTGATGTATGTTAAAGCAAATCCCAGATACCATGTGTTGAGAGCTTTCTTAAGATTACGGTATTAATAATAGTTAAATGTGTATTTGAAAACAAAACTTACATTGGACATTGATAGAATACCTGAAGCATCTGTGCAGAATACAGTTTGTAAGCCACTGCCTACCTAATTGTAGTCCTAAAGGAGTTTTGTGAAAATATGTGTGGGTGGTTTAAAAAACTCTTCCTGCGGTGCTCACTTTTTTGTTCCTGGATTAGAAGTAGGGCTAGAAAGTAGGATTAGAGGGTCATCTCTGAGTTTCTTTAATTGTTTGTTTGTTTGTTTGTTTGTTTGTTTGTTTGTTTGTTTTGAGAGAGAGAAGAGAGGGCTCAAGCAGGGAAGGGTCAGAGAGAGAGGGAGAGAGAGAATCCCAAGCAAGTTCCACACTGTCAACAGGGAGCCCGCTGTGGGGCTTGAACTCATGAACCCATGAGATCATGAACTGAGCCTAGCTTAACCAGCTGAGCCACCCAGGTGCCCCTCTGAGTTTCCTTTAAAATCACAAGATACCATGATAATACCAATTTATTCGGTTTTTATTGCTGCTATTCGATCGTTATTTCAGGTAACTAGTCAGGAAAGTACTATCTTAGTTTGTGCTTTAAGGAAATACCCTCACTTTCACCTTCCTGATTGCAGCATTCCTTCTAATAAGACCCAGATTAGAAAGGATCCTTATTTTTCACAAGTGTTTTGAGAGAATACCTGGCCCAGTTTGAGACAGAACTTCTAAAAAAAAAACTTTATTATTGTATGATTTATGTCTTAGTAAAATAAGAACTATTGGTAGTGGTGGTGGTGGTTGCTTTTAAGTAACATTGATTCTCTTTTTAAGTTTTATTAAATCCAGTCGATTTTTCTTTCTTAAGTAAGCTCTATGCCCAACGTAGGGCTTGAACTCATGACCCGAGATGACCTGAGATCAGGAGTCGCATGCCCTACCAGTTGAACCAGCCATCACCCCAAGGCTGTTTGTTTTAAAGCCATTTCCATATCTGCTTTCTTCTTTCTTTCTTTCTAATGTTTTTGGTTTTGTTTTTTGAGAGAGAGATTGAGAGCATGAGCTGGGAGGTACAGAGAGAGGGAGAGAGAGGATCAGAAGCAGGTTCTGAGCTGTCAGCGCAGAGCCCAATGTGGGGCTCAAACTCACAAACCGAGAGATCATGACCTGAGCTGAAGTCAGATACTTAACCAACTGAGCCACCCAGGTGCCCCTGTATCTGCTTTTTCAAATTAGGTTTTTTATTTGGTTTCTTTCAGTTTTTTAAGTCTATAGAGAAGTTACTTTGAGCAGGCCATGGTGGGTTTTTCATTTAATTTTGAAACAGTTCGATTATTTAAACTATAGTCTAGGGAAGAGAGAATACTTGTTTTTAACATCCAGAGATTAAAATCTGTGTACCGTGTAGCATTTGGACCCTGAAGCGGTCAGGCAGGCCCTGGGAACTGTGTCGGTTCCAGATCTGAACCCTCTATCTGAGCTGGCAGTGTCTCAAGCTTTTTCCAGACTGGTTACTTTAACCTGTGGAGTGTTAACATCATATTAATATGCCTTGCAATAGTCTCACAATCTATTTCGTCTTTTCCTCAGTGGCTCTATTTGGTCTAATTATTATGTGTATAGCTTGGATAAAACATGTATACATTTTGGATAGGAAGATTGACTTTAGAGTGTAATACCAACAGTTCCTTTCCAGGCTGCTCTGCCAATCTTGCTGAACCTTAGAGATGCTTAATAGAAGCTCTTAAAGAGGGAGGAATTTGCTGCTTGTCTGGGTGGATTCAGCTAGTAGAGAGTATTTACCAACGCCAAAAAGATAAGTCTTTAATAGATGGCTTTTGTGTTTTGTTTTTAGAATCACAAGAAGTTGATGAACAGCTGGTAGCAGAAGTGGTGGAAAAATGCTCATCTGAGACTTGTTCTAGACCCTCAGAAAATGAGGTGTCACAGCAGGCTATTGCTTCTTACCCAGTCAAGGATTTCAAAGAAGAACCTGAACATGATAGTAGCAAAATTTCAGTCGTGAGGCCATTTTCGATAGAAACCAAGAATTCCACGGACGCCCCGGCAGCTCTAGGAACAAAGGCAGCTTATGGCTGTCTAACTGTGGTCTCAGGCGAGGCTTTGCCCTCCAGCACACCAGAAGCCATCCCCGACAAGGCAATGACAGAAGGCACCATGGGGGTGACGCTGGAGGCCTCCACAGAAGCTGACCTGAAGGCTGCCAGCTCCTGTCCAGAGCCTGTTCCCAGCAGAAGCAAGCTAAGAAAGCCCAAACCCGTCTCTCTGAGGAAGAAGACGATTGGTGAATTTTTAGAGGCTGATGTTGCCCTAGAGGGCTCACCTCTCCCCCAGGCATCCTGTCAGTTCTGTGCTGATGAGATGGATGGGAAAGCAAATCCTTTGCTAGGAGGCGCCAGGATCCAGAAACCTCCTCCTGACACTAAGGAGACCTCGAGCGCCCCTGGCAGTGACACCAACGACTCTGGAGTTGAGCTGCTGGAGGAGTCCAGGAACTCACCTCTGAAACTCGAGTTTGATTTCACAGAAGATGTGGAAAATGTAGAGTCCAGGAAAGGCCTTCCGAAGAAACTTGGCAGGAAACTGGGTAGCAAACTGCCTCCCAAGGTACAGAAAGATAGCGTCAGTAAGCCAGTAGGCGCCAAAGGTGGGGACCAGCCTGCAGACCCAGCTGCAGACAGCGCTCCTCCCTCCCAGGCATCTGCTAAGCTGGCTCCCAGCCAGTGGGATAACCCCAACTTCAGTCCCTTTGGGGGCCTCTCCGCTCTGCAGAACACCCCCCCTCTCTCCTCTAAGGGCTCCTACCACCTTGACGAATCCATGGATCCCTTTAAACCAACTACAACTTTAGCAAGCAGTGACTTTTGTTCTCCTGCCGGTAATGATATTAATGAAATCTTAGAATCACCCAAGAAGGCAAAGTCGCGTTTAATAACGTGAGTGGCGACGGGTGTGGGTGTTGTGTTCTGTGTACTTTCTTGAGTTTGGCAGCCAGCTGCTTTTGGTTTCGGTGAACCGAAGTGATCTTTGAGGTGCATCGGGGCAGACATGCAGCTTAGAGCTTTATGCTATAGCCCTCACTGTTTTGCTTAACTCTGGGGTACAGTTAGAAGTGCCAGAGTTGTCCTTGGTGGGTGTCTGCTTTGTTTCTGAATCCTCAGCTTATTCGGCTGACCTCTCCCACCACCACACCTTGGGTACATTTTTCCTATTAAAAAAAAAAAAGAAGAGGAGTGTACAGCAGGTAGAGATTTGATGGTTTTCAGAAATCCTATCCAGGCTGTCAGGAATTGCTTTATATACAGAATTCAAGTGTCAGTGCTGGCCACCATCTTCAGATTCTCTGGATAAAAGGAAAATTCCATCTCTCCAGATTGATTACCGGTCTAATATCAGTAACGTGCAAAATGGTCCCAAAAGGTCTTATAGAAGTCTTTCACTTAAAACAGAAAGCTGTGACTTTTGTTACAAACAAATCTACCACGAAAAGTTGCTAAGAATTCTTATGTCTCCATGTTTAGCTTATGGCTCCATCAGTACGGAGGTCAATTTGCAGTAAGAAGCAAGAATATTTTAAACATTCTTGTAAATCTGACTAAATTAGTCTTTTGTTGTGCGTTGTCTCCCTCCCCCTCCCCTCTTTTCTGGGAATGCCATAACCACTTTTGCAGGGTCCTTGAAGTTCCCAGAGTGATCAAGGCATATTTATTCCACATAAAGTTTCAATTTAAATTTGTTACAGGGTTACCTTTTCACAGAACTTGAGTTGATGACCATATATCCTTTTGTGACCCTGTGACATTTTACTAAAAATAAAGTCAGACCAATGACACAGAGAATGAAAAGTAAAAAGGGAGAATGAGAAAAAGTACTGTTATTTCCAGCTGTCACTGTAGATGAGTCAGGGAAATAATGTTCAGCATTATTGTGACCTAAAGGAGTATGCTAGTGTGGTGTGATGAAGTATACTAGAGAGAAAAGTTAAAGAGCAGAAAGCATCAGGACCAAGAAGCTTGAACCATGAGAAATCCTTTCTTCAGCAACCCCAGAATGCCTAAGGTGATTGAAATGTCATTAGTAGCTCTTGATTTGTTCTTTGGTCATATATGAGCAGTTAAATGGTTGCTGAAAAATATTATTGATCTGGGGTCCGCCAGGTGCCCTTCTGTGGCTGAGGTTAGTTACCTGTCTAGACAGTGCTTGGGGTATATGTTGGCCACATCATTGCCTTGGTGCTTCCTGTACGGTGCTTCTGGCTAGCAAAATTAGTAAGGAGTCCTTGGGAGCCTCCCTTTCAGTTGCATGTTGAAGCTGTATAGCCAGTACATTCATGTTAGATGAGACTAAATCTGGACCAGAGGGAGGGAAGTTTATCGTACACCAAATTTTCAGTAGCAGGAAGTACCCTCTCAGTCCTTCCACCCTCACCCGGTAGCATTTTCTTCCTGTTCTGTTCTTGGTGAGTGAACTTCTTGGTTTAATGTATCTTGTAGATTTTTTTTGTATGTCTTATATAATCAAACCTCTTATGTCCTTGTTCCTTCTATAAGAGACGGTGTGTGACCTCTTATGTAACTTGGGCTTTGTTTAGAAAATCCCTTTGTTGGTAAGAAAGACTGGAAGTATGCATGTGGAAGTAGAAGCGAGTGGGGAGTTAGAGGTTCTGTTAACAGGTCACTTGTATGACTTTTTAAAAGATGCATGTAATTGACATCTCAGATTCTCCTCCTGTGAAGTAGAGACATCATACTCTCCATGATTGGTATTTTGTGGATCAAATAAGATAAGTTAATGTAAAACCATTTTAAGCTACTTGGTGATACACACCTATAGTAGTTATGAGCAGATATGTTGTCCACTATTGTTGTATTCATGCATTGCCTTTAATCTGGGTGATGAGACATTTAAATGTTCTCAGTAGTGAAATAATGTTGGTTTTTTATATTCACAAATATTTGGAAGTTTACTCTTCCTCTATAAATTTGGATATGAGGCATTTCTGAGTGTTTCTACCACTCTTACTGCATTAGAGAGAGGTTCCTGATAATCATTCGCTCACCAATGGTAACATTCATGAATACGACATCTTTATTTGTGTCTCACCTCATAGAAAGAATTTTGCAGCCTTTACATCTACCAGACTACAGATAAATATTCCAGGCTTTACATGATTTTTTTCTCCATCTGTCTGTCTCTTTCCTGTCTCTAATTTTGTTGGTGCATCAGGACTACTGAACAAGTGAAATTTCTCTGTTTTCTGTTGTAAGTACCCCGGCCGTTTCTGTTCGTCCCTGGGACCTTTGGCACGTCCTCTCCCCAGACCATCTCTCCATAGCATGTTGGCTTCTGTATCTGAGTTTGACCTTCTGATGATTTTTTTTTTTTTTTGCATTTCATCTGCCACTTCATGAGTCAGCTTAGCCTTGCAATCGTCTGTACCTAACAGAGTGGAGACCAACCTTCCACCTTAGGTGCGAGAGCTTGCGCTCCCCAGCTCGGCACGCCTCACGTGGCGCTTTGATAATGCGTGCTGGCTTGGCCCCCACATCATCCCGACAGTGATTGGAGGGACTGACTGCTCTGTGGTTGTTGGAAATAACGGACTTCTTTGATAGGATAAGGTTGCTGGCTTGGAGCAGGGGATACATTTCAGAAGCAACTCAAATTTGGTGGTTTGGTGGCAGGGGGTGGCGTTTAGTAAGAGTATTAGGAAAGAAAACCAGAAACTAGACAGTAGTCGTGCACATTCTGGGAACTTTATATGCTCATCTTGCCCCCCACACCCAGCCCCATCCCCCCTGCAGAAGAAAAAGTTGTAAATGTATTTATTTTGTCAGAGTGGCGTTTTCACTGGAAATTTTAAGTGCATTAAAACAGAACAGCATCTGAACCAATCCTCGGATCATAAATTATGTGCTAGTTAAAAAATAACAGGTGGTTTGAGTTTTCCCCAGTTCCAGTCTTGGCACAAATACTTGACATTTGCTTTCCATCTTACTGCTTCATAGGAATGGTAACAATTTACGCAAATAGTTTTATTTTTGTACTTTCTGTTGACCACAGTTCTTCTCTGTCAGCACACAGGTCTGGAACTGTCCTATCAGACTTATGTGGCTTCTAGTGCAATAAAGAACTTTTTTAAAGAATCTGGTCCAGCGTGGTAATTTTTCTAATGAACGTCAAAGCCAAGTGAGTTGGGATCAGATGAACCGAATGTCTCTAGGTGCTAAGGCTACCTCTGAAAGGCTTGGTGGCATGTAATCAGAACCCGTAGGGGTCAGAGTACTGGTGTGTAACATCCCACAGAAGCATATGAGGAGGTCTTTTCAGAGAGTGAGCTGAGCTACACTTCATTGCTTGCCTTGTCTCTTGGGAGAAGATTCAGAGACATAAAAGGTGTCCCCCTCTCAAACGTGTAGATGTAGAACTTGTGTGGTGCTGTATGCTTTCGCTTCTCTCTGCACACATTGCTGTCTCTGCGCCATCTCATAGCTTGGAAATTGCCAATGTGATTCCAAAATGGCCTGTTTTTGTTTTTTGTTTTTGTTTTTCCTTTCCAGGAGTGGCTGCAAGGTGAAGAAATATGAAACACAGTCTCTTGCTTTGGACGGATGTTCTCAGGTGAGTCCATGCCTATCGTCAGGATGGCTCTTAGATCAGTGGCCCCAAAGTGGTGTTTGTATCCTCCTGGGGGAGCGAGGGGTAGATTAACGAAGAGTTTGCGGTGGGTGTCTGAGTATCTAGTTTTGAGGAAACCAATTTCCAGATCCTTAACTTCCCACAGTGACCTGAGAAGGCTCCTGAGAACATAGGAACCCTTCATACTATCCTTTTCCCACTTCTTTTGAGTAAAGTTTTCTTTCATTCTAAATCTTACTAAGGTGCATTTGATGTCTGGGACATCTAACAAAGGGCAGATTTGAAATATTGGTGTATATTTTAAGAAAGTGAAGGACTTTAATAACTTCTTTTAAAAGTCAAATGGTTTTCTAATTCATTGCTTCCAATGAGGTAGGAGAACCTGAGATGTCACCTGATTATTGAAAATTACCTTTGACACAATGTTATATGTCACATATCTCAATTTAAAAAATAATTTTTGATTATAGATTTGTTTGGGTATGTAACTTGGAAAGAGTTTCAAAGAATTGAAAGACATTTCTATTACAAAACTTTTTCTGTTTCACTTATTTATATAAATAGGCTTAAATATATAAGACTCTTTACTGATTTATAATTTAAAAAATGAAAAACAGGAATAAAATTCATGCAGACCCTTATTTCCTTCTAGCAATAAATATTTGTCCATGACCATATGAATTGAGAAACACAGAAAATCAAGCACGCAGACCCATCTGATTGGGATAAGATCCTTTTTAAACTATTTTAGCATAACCGTGATTACAGAAATGCATTCACTGGTTAACAGAATGCATTTTAAGTTTAACTTACTTTACACAGTTTGGACCAAAAACTTGGGTACATGGCTTAAGATTAAAAACAAACAAAACATGATTTGTCCTCTGATTCATTTTTTCATCTATTACAAGTGTGTAATTATCCACGTTCAAATGCTGCTAAAGTGGCAACAAGAACCGTGAGAAATTTACCTTTGATTTGATTCAGAAAAATTGCACGTATCACACTGCAAAAGTTTTAAATAATTGATTCAACAAAATGTAATCGTACAAAAGTAGAAACTTTTGTATTTGATAGTACTTATCAAAAGTTGTGATATTTTTAGGATAAATTGTGCATTAGTTAATTATAATGATTAGCTCTTCAGAAGCAAAAATGTTAATACTTAAAGACATAGAATTTTTTTTTTAATTTTTATCTTTTTTAACTGAGAAAGATGGTAGGGAGAACTTTAAAAGACTTTCAAGCATATAAATGCTTTTTTAAAGGATGATTTCTTGGAAGGAGTAGAGTGGAAGTACAAATTCAGAGGGGAAAGGGTATGATGCAAATTCTGACTATTAAAGCTATCGAGGAGCGTGTTCGTGCTTGATTTTAAATAGACAATAGAGTATCATCAAATCACTCTGGTAACTAGATTGAATTAGGCAAGGCCAGTGTTTAAAGTGTACCAGATAATTGTATCCTTTGCAGTTTTTTATATTTATGCTGAGATGTTTTTGGATGTCATCTGAAAATACAGTGGGGTACCTAGGTTTTCCAAAACAATTCAAGGTGTATATGAGTAAAATATTTGAAAACCGTTGCCTTGGACCACTTCAGCTTCTTGCTTGTAAGTCTGGGTGGGCTAAAGGTTAATTTTTCAAACCTCAGATGTGAAGGTAGCTTCTAGGAAACATAGCATTCCATGATTGAGAGACCCCAGCTTCCTCTTTGATTGGTACCAAATCTGTGGTTGAGTCTTGTCAGACATCCGTGTGGAATGGTGGCTGTCCTGCCCTATTCCTGAGACATCGCCATCCCCACTGTTGGTCTTCCTAAACGGTAGCATCTGGTGTGTTGCATTTCCCAGGATGAAGGAGCAGTGATCTCCCAGATTTCAGACATTTCTAATAGGGATGGCCATGCTACTGACGAGGAGAAACTGGCGTCCACTTCATCTGGTCAGAAATCAACTGGGGCCGAGGTGAAAGGTGAGCCAGAGGAAGACCTGGAGTACTTTGAATGTTCCAATGTTCCCGTGTCTGCCATAAATCATGCGTTTTCATCCTCAGAAGCAGGTATGGAAGCATATGTTCATCTTTATAACATACTTAAGCCTAGAAATGCCTGAAAGCCAATGCAGGAGGCGCTTTAAAGAGATTGGAGAATTGGGTCACTTGGAGGATAGTTGTAGGATGCTGGTCTATGCTTTGCTTCTTTACCTGGATGAGGGGCACAGAAGGGAGTCTTATCAAAGAACCAGAGACATAGGGATGAGTGTGGCACAAGGCACAGGAAACACCGACATATGAGACGACTTGAATTTTGTAATAATTTCTTTTAATGTGGTCACATCTCAAAATACAGTGGCCTGTAGCCATGTTGTGATTGTTCAACTTACAGAAATAATAATATTTAACACGTATAATGGCTTACCATGTGCAGGAATAGTTCTACATGCTTTACATGTATTAGCTGATTAGTCCTTGGTAGGTGTTATTTTTTTACCCCATTTTTCAGAGAAGGGAGGTGAGACATAGAAGTTAAGTAGGTCAGCCAAGGTCACTTGAGTAGCAAATGGTAGAGAAGTAGGATTCGAAGACTATACTTTCAGGGATCATTTCTATAGTTCGTTACAAGAAGTAGGATTCGAACCTCGGCCATCTGGTTTCATGGTCTTTTGGCCACAGTGCTGATGTGGGAAGAGATTGCTTTCATTACTAGAATATTACACATTTTCCTGTTCAGGGATGTAGTAGATTGAAATTGACCAATATCCTAAAAAATCTTTAATGTTCTGATAAGAACTAACTAGACTAACCTATGCTGAAGCTTCTTACTGTTGAACTCATTAGAACATTCTAGAGCTGAGGTCCCTTTCCAGGCCCCAAGTTACATCTGTGGCCTTCAACCTGACTTGTGAAATGTTAAGAGCCATGTCCCTGACTACCTTAAACATTATTATTAACATCTCAGATTTTCAGCAATGTAATTTGATGTGGGGACTTTTATACTTAGAACTTTAAAAATCACAGTCAAACCAGGGAAGTAGATGACTTTGGGAGAGTTACTCCCTCGGCCTCTCCCTGCTGCCCAGGTCGCAGCTTCCCATCTGTAAAGTATACATGCCAGGCACTGTTCCAGCTTTCTTCCCAGGCCACTTTCCCATCTGCACCCCTCTACCCCAGTTATGCAGGATAACCTTGAGTACTCTTGTACCTATGTTTATTTCTTACATTTGAAATACCTTTCTTTGCCATCTCCTATAAACATTCTGCCCATTCTTTCTGGTTTCTCTCCAAACTGTTTCTTGGCTTCCACCACGCTTTACGTTCCCACCACATTTCTTCTTACCGTTTCTATTCCCCATATATTTATTATAAAAGTTGTCTTTGATGAACTTGCTGAGGTTAAGGACTATGAGTGATTCCTCTTTGAACTTCCTTCAGTAGAGGAGCATGTAGATATTTGAATTATATTCTTCCTCACTAGAAGGAAATTCCTTCCAACAGAAATTTCTGGAGCAGGGGTTCTGTTAACTATAGTGCTATCCTCAGAGATAGTGAATAGCTCGTGCTACCGTGTATGTAACTGATCAGCCATGTCCTGGGAGCAGGCAGAGACTGTGGTCATGCAGAGGGGTGGTAGATACGTGGAAGTGGGAAAGGAATATGGGCTGTCAGGTGACTCAGGCAGAGTCTGTTTCCTGGGGAGAGTCACCTTTGCGCTAGGTCTTGATACAGACGTACACAGATGTGTGCCAGGGAACAAGAATCTCTCCCAGGGATGGGAAGGAACCTGTCATGTTGGTGAGTGCCCTGTAGTTCTCTGTGACTCTAGGACAAGTGGGAAAACGAGGTTGTACTGGGGAATCTGGACCTGATCCTACAGGTATAGGGGAGCCATTGAAGGTTTGTAAGCAGAATAGTGATGGTCACATTTGTGTGTTCAACAATCCACTATTAATAGACAGTACACTTAGATAGTAATTTGTTGTGGCTACATGGAAGATGGTAGCTTGAAAATTGTGTGCCCTTTCATATTTAACATTTTTTCTTCAATGAGTACACATTCCTTTAATTAGAAAAGGCATAGTATTTTTTATTTCAATGTTGCCTTTGGTGGTGGTAGAGTGGAAGGTAGACTGGAGACAAGTTTGAAGGGTGTGGGGAGGAGAATGAATTTATATTTTCAGGCATTGAAATTTAGAGTTTATTGTTTTGTCTGCTACATTAATTAGTCTGAGGATACCCTCCTGGGCTGGAATTTAAATTGACTCAGACTTGGTAAGAAAATAGCATTCTTGTCGCTTCCTCTTTCTGAAATAGTCCCTTGGTTGGTACAACTTACAGAACTTTTCATGGACACAAGGTGGCAGCCTTGCTATTCTTTCCACCTGAAGATGGCGATCCTGTGTATGGCTGGCTAACCCCACACTTCCTTCTGAATATTTTAGACATTTAACACAGACAGCACAGCCGTCAACCAAATGCCAGTGCTCCCTTGAAAATCTTGAAATGCTGTTCATGTGTTCATAGACGTCAGTCTGGGCCTGCACTGAGGTTTTCAGAGTCTTTCACTAGGAAAGAAAGGAACGGACTTCTTGGGATAACTATAAAAATGACTCTCTGTGTTTTAGGCATAGAGAAAGAGACGTGCCAGAAGATGGAGAAAGATGGATCTACCATGACTGTAAGTTCCTACATTTGTGGGGGGTAGGGAGTCTAGAGGAGGTGCAGCTAATCTTTTTTTTTTTTTTTTTAGTATTATTTGTTTGTTTGTTTGTTTGTTTGTTTATTTATTTATTTTTTGAGAGAGAGCACAAGTGGGAGGAGGGGCAGAAAGGGAGGCAAACACAGAATCCGAAGCAGGCTCCAGGCTCTGAACTGTCAGCACAGAGCCTGACAAGAGGCTCGGACTCATGAACTGTGAGATCATGACCTGAACTGAAGTCAGACGCTAAACTGAGCTACCCAGGCACGCCTTAGTATTTATTTTAAAGCCCGCATTAATTCATTAAATAAACCATAGTCATTGTTTGGTGCTGGGGATGAAATGTAAATACAAGTTTCTTCACTTGAGCTCATAGCCTATCCTGAGATCTCCTATCCAGTGGCCACTGAGCGCCTGACCTGTAGCCAGTCTGAATTGAGATGTCTTGTTAAGTATAAAATACAACTAGTCTTTGAAGACTTAGTACAAAAGAAAAGAAAAGAAAAGAAAAGAAAAGAAAAGAAAAGAAAAAAATGTTTCAAACTTTTATATTGATTACATATTGAGATGATCATATCTTAGATATATGATATATATCTAACTATAGTTGGATATCTCTATATATAGATATGTAGATATCTATATATCTATAGATAGATAACTATATCTGTATCTATAGATAGATATAGTTAGATATCTAACTATATATAGAGATAGATATAGATATATAGTTAGATATATATCTATAGTTAGATATATATCATATATCTAAGATATGATCATCTCAATATGTATTAGACATAGAAGTATTGTTAGATAATATATCTAAATATAGTTAACTACAGTATTAAAATTAATTTCACTTATATCTTTTTACTTTTTAAATGGCTAGTGAAAATTTTTAAATTATGTATGCCTTGCACTGTGTTTTGTTTTTTTTTTAAACAGTACTGGTAGTAGATACAAAATGGAAACTAATGCTATATGAATGTTGTAATAGAATGTGTTCCAGGGCCTGTGGGAGCCAGAGCTGACTGCCTGTGTAGCAGGTATCTGGGAGGCTGAATTTGAGCTCATTAAAAGAAAATTATTTAAAACTTTATAGACTTACAAAAACAGTACAAAGAATTCCTGTAAATCTTTCTTTCACTTATACTCTTTGAATTTTAATATTTTATTTAAAAAAAAATATTTTGAGAGGAGAGAGAGAGAGAGAATATCCCAAGCAGGCTCCGCACTGTAAGCATACATGGGGCTCAGCATGACCTAAGCCAAAATCAAGAGTCAGATGCTTAACCAACTGAGCCACCCAGATGCCCCTGAATGTTAACATTTTATATAATCACAGTACAGTTAACAAAATCAATTAACACTGGTACAGTATTATTTTCTAACCTATAAACCATATTCAAATTTTGTCATTTGTCTCAGTAATGTCCTCTTTCTGGTGCAGAGTCCAACTCAGGATTGCATGTTGCATTTAGTTCTCAGGTTCTTAGTCTCCTATCATCTGTGATAGTTTTTTTTTAATAACTTTTCATTTTTATTGGTGTTAACTCAGTTTTCCCCCCCACCTCCTCATTGAACCCTCCTTCATTGTTTCATTTGTAAAATCTGTGATAGTTCTTTAGTCTCTCTCTCTTTCCTGACCTTGACACTTTTGAAGAATACAGGTCAGTTTTGTAGGATATCTTTCAATTTGGGTTTGTCCAGTGTTTCTTTGTGATTAAATGCAGTTTATGCATTTTGGGTATGAATCCATCAGAAGTGACGTTGTGGATCTCAGTGTGTCCCATTATTGGTGGAGTTAACTTTGATCACATGGTTAAGGTGGTGGTGTCTGAGGTTCCTCCATTTGAAAACTTAGTTGTAAAGAAAGAATAGGGTTTGCAAGACCGATAAGGTAGTGAAGGGCTTTCTGGGCAGCAGAGTTGCCCTGCACAAAGGCAGGAAGTGAGAAGCATGGCCTTTATAAGCAAGTGGAACTGTTAGTAATCTCACGTGATCACAGGGTACTCTACATAGGTAGGTGAGGGCCAGATCATCAGGGGCCATAGACATGGTGCCAGGAGTCTTAGAATTCATGGTAGAAGCAGTTGGGGACTATTGTGGGGTTTTAAGTAAGGAGTATCATGATCAGTAATAGTTCAAAGGATGGGCTGGAGGCTGAGAGATTTATCAGGTAGAACCATGACTGCTTGGTGAGACGACTTGGGAGATGTGCATTGCAGCTGGGGTGGAGGTGGTGGCAAGGGAAGGTTGGCAAAAGCCACCCAGGGTTTCTTCCTTTAACATCCTAGTGGTCAGTGTTACTGATAACCCACCCCACAAACCTAAGATAACCTTGGACTCCTCCTTCCCTCTTATTTCCACAAGCAAGATCTGTGGTTTCTATGTCCAGAAACCATATATTGCAAATTCATCTACTTTTCTTCAGCCCATGGCCACCACCAGTCTTTTTAAATATGGTGGTAAGGGGCACCTGGGTGGTTCAGTCAATTGAGTGTCTGACTCTTGTTTTTGGCTCAGGTCATGATCCCATGGTTGCGAGATCGAGCACCATGTTGGGTTACATACTGAACATAGAGCCTGCTTAAGATTCTCTCTCTCCCCACCCCCCACCCCCACCCCCACCTCTCTCCCCTGCTCACATGCTCTCTTTGTCTAAAATGAAAGTTAAAAAAAAAAATAATGAAATATAAATGAAGGGAGGGATGGAGGGAAGGGAGGAAGGAGTAATTTCCTAACTAATCCCCCTGTTCCCAGGCTTATTCTCTTATCCTTTTACGTAAGCCAAGGTGATGTTTTAAACACAAAACTGATCTTGTTACTTTCTGCTTAAACCTCCTGGTTGGCTTCCCCTGTCTTTAGAGTAAGTTCAGACGCTTCCTATGGCCAGTGTGGCTTTCTGCAGTGGGACTCTGCCTTTGTCTCCAGCATCTGCTGCCTCCTCTCTCCCTCGCACATCTGACTCTTGCCTTAATTTATGGAATTTCTTTTAGTTCTGTGAAGCTACTCCTTGGAGTCACTTCTTGATTTCCCTTCTTTCCTTCTAACACTTTAAGCTTGGTGCAGGTAGATGACTGTTTGCTGCTACATTAGCACCTACCACAATAAATACTGTGAACACAGGAATCAGTAAATTAAGAATACAGTTGGCGGGGCGCCTGGGTGGCGCAGTCGGTTAAGCCTCCGACTTCAGCCAGGTCACGATCTCGCGGTCCGTGAGTTCGAGCCCCACGTCGGGCTCTGGGCTGATGGCTCAGAGCCTGGAGCCTGTTTCCGATTCTGTGTCTCCCTCTCTCTCTGCCCCTCCCCTGTTCATGCTCTGTCTCTCTCTGTCCCAAAAATAAATAAAAAAACGTTGGAAAAAAAAAAAATAAAAAAAAAAAAAAAAGAATACAGTTGGCATCTGCCTGGCTCAGTTGGTGGAGCACGTGACTTGTGTTCTTGGGGTTGTAAGTTTAAGTCCCATGTTGGGTGTAGAGATTACTTCAAAAATAAGTCTTTAAAAAAAAAAAGAATAGAGAAAGAAAAGCAGAATTGTAGGAATTAATTTTTAGATCTGTGGCTCTGAGACATCTGTGGGACCAGTTTCTAAGTCCATTATTTCCAGGAGACAGTTCTAATAAGTACATAGCATGAGTTCAAGAAAAGCCTGGGTTGGATTTAATAGATTTGAAGGCCTTTGGGACACAGGATAATTGAAAAAAAATTTTTTTTTGCATCTTGACTAACATATATATATAGAGATAACACATCACAACATATGCATTTGTATATTTATAAAAAAAAATTGTACAAAGGGCACCTGGATGGCTCAGTTGGTTAAGCATCGGACTTAGGCTCAGATCTTGATCTCACGGTTTGTGAGTTTGAGCCCCACATCAGGCTGTCTGCTGTCAGCACAGAGCCTGCTTTGGATCCTCTGCCTCCCCACCCCACCCCCACTTCTGTCCCTCTCCTGCTCGTGTTCGCGTGCTCGCTCGCTCTCTCTCTCTCTCTCTCTCTCTCTCTCTCTCAAAAATAAGTAAACCTTAAAAAAAAATAAAAAAGGAAATTTAGAAAAAAAAGCTGCACAAAATTGTATCTGTCAGGGGCACCTGGGTGGCTCAGTTGGTTCACATCTGACTCTTGATTTTAGCTCAGGTCATGATCCCAGGGTCGTGGGCTCAAGCCCTGGTATTGGGCTCCGTGCTGAGCGTGGAGCCTGCTTGGGATTCTGTCTCCCTCTTCCCCTCTCCCCTGCTTGCACGTACTCTCTCTCAAATTAAAACAAACAGACAAACCAGTATCTACCTTTCTTTGTGTGATTTACTCTGATATTCTATTTCATTTTTTAATGCAGACTATGTGTCCCAGTAAATTGTTTTCAGGACTCACTATTAGGCCATGACCCACGGTGTTCCCAACAGGACACAGTGAGCAGTAGACGTGAAGGGACATGGGTGGAGGAGGAGCCTGTGGAAGTGTGAGCAGAAGGAGGATGTGCACATAGGATCTCAGGAGCGTTGTCCTCTCACAAGGGCTTCACGCATTAGTGACATATGTTTCTGGGTAAAATCACTGTTTTGGGAGCCGGGCCACCTGATTGCAGCACAGCCACTCTTGGGCTTCGGCCTGTCTTTCCTCATCTCTGAGAGGGAGGGGTGCCTGCCATCCCCACCCACGAGAGGGCGAAACTACACGCTCCAGCAGAACAGCCTGCGTGTGCACTTGTTTGAAGTTTTCCAAGTACTGCGCGAGCGCTTCCTTGTATTTTCAGTGTGTGGTAATAACAAGGAGATGATTGAAGAAGGTTGTGTCAAGGGGACCAAGCATTGCTCTGCACGGCTGCAGATCTCTGTGGCTTACCCGGTTTTTGAAACAGACTGGTTCAACTACAGACTGGTTCCACTTCCGGATTCCCAACTTCTTCATCCATAGAACAAGAGCACCTGTCTGACTGGTCCAAGTAGTTGAGAGGATGAGGGAATTGGTAGCGTAAAAGATGGAAGCTGCAAAGAGCTAGACCTCTATGAGATGGGGCAGTGCTGATAGGAAAAGGGTGGGAAGGTGAGCGAGAAAGAAAAATGGGGAATGCTTGCCTTTGGAGCCAGCTGCTGAACATATCCTATGTTGCCATCTTTTAAAAAGTAACCCCAGTTGAACTTCCTGAAATTGGTGAATTTCTACTTCCTAGAATGTGGCATAGGTATTGCATGAAGCAATTACCTTATTCAGGACGCTCAGTGAAAGAGTCTGGTTAGCCTAGCATTCACTGTTTTACACCTCTCTGGGCTGCTTGGAGGTGAATTCCTTTGCGGTCTCATTGCCAGTGGTTGGTGGCGGCCAGGGTAAAATACCTAAGGCCAGAGGACAGTCAGTGATGGGTAGCCAGTCTCATCTTGTTTATCAGCTATTGGTCTGCAGCATTTTTCAAGTAGGAGTCAATTTATTTTATTGATTTTTTTATTTTTATTTTTTAGGACATCTTAAACTTCTTAAAAGTTAAGTTCATTTGGTTTTTCAGGCATGTCTCTGTTAGAGCGAAGTACCTGGGGTGGTACTAGTCCATTGAGTTCAAGGGCAAAAGATGGGATGAACTCAGCATGCTGTGAGAGATTAATGATGCTAATTCTCCCACTGCAAGGAGCTGAGCAAAGAGGTTTCCATTGTGGCATCCTGCTCACTGCAAATCCTGCAACCAGGACTGTGTTGGGCTCCAGTATCTACAGACAAGCGTTTTTTGGCCCTCAACTGTAAATGTTTTTTGGGGACAAGGAAGAGGATTAGGGGACATGAAAAAGGACCCTTTTCGAAGGCCACGATTGATCAATTGGGTTGGCATCTTTGTTAAACGCGTTAGATTGCCCAGGCTAGGAAGAGATCCGGCGCAGTTTTTTGAGATGGTAGATTCTGTAGGCTTTCTGTGCTGTTGGATAAGCAATATAAAGGACTGAACAGTGTGAAAAACTGAATCCTAGGGTTCTTGAAAAGGCGGCTAAAATAGGCCATGGCCATAAATTCCTCAGAGCTGTTGCGGTTTGAGCCTTGAGGCGAGAGGCATGTGGCCTGGCGGAGGGGAGTGGCCAGGGGAGGCAGGGCTGCAGGCTGCAGAGCCCAGTCACCTGGATATTTCTGCCACCATCTGAGTTCTGTCTCCCGCCTCCAACAGAGTGCTGCCTCTTCCAGACACATTAAGTTGTTGAGCAAGCAGGCAGACAACTCATTCATCCCCTCACAAATGATTGAGATGCTGAACTCGAGAATAGACATTGATATTTTCCTTACTAGGAAAATTCTTTTGGGTTATTTCCCAAATTCTTGCTAACTTGAGGGTCATTGGAAGCACAGGGGAGCTGTTTTTTAGAATTAGCTTGGGGATTCTGGCTTCAAATAATAAAAACACAAAAGACTGATTTTAAAGTGCATTAATTTAGAATCAGAAATCTAACAACAAAGTGAACTAAATGTGTCAACTTGACCCTAGGGTGTTATCTCCCTGTAGGCAAGTTACATGGGAAGCAAGATTATGAGAAAGTTTCTTGAGAAGTATGGCACAGGAAGTCAATGTGATGACTCAGATGTCCAGAGGTTTATTCATTATCCACAAGAAGCACTTCTTATCATTTCTGGCTCTGGAATCATGGCGCGGCTTTGCTGGGTGCCTCTGACCTCTCACAGGCTGCGATCAAGGTATTAACCAGAGCCGTGGTCACCTCTAGGCTCAATCAGGGGTAAATGCATTTCCAAGCTCATTCACATGGCTGTTGGCAGAAACATTGATTCCTTGCCACGTGGGCCTCTCCATAGAGACTTTCTCACAATGCAGAAGCCAGTCTTTTTGGAAACTAATATCAAAAGTGACATCCCATGACTTTTACCATAGTCTCTTCAGAAGTAAGTCACCAGGACCAGCCTGCTCCCGAGGGGAGGAGATTACATGAGAGGATTAGTACCAGCAGGGTGGGGGTCATTGCAGGCCATGTTTGAGACTGCTCACCACAAGTGGCTTCTGGCTCTAGTGATAGATCTACCCCAAGATAGTGTTTCTGGGGGGACCTCAGACTCCTGTCAGCATGGTAGGTACCTTCCCCCAAATGCTGCTTGAAATGGGCACTGCCAGCTTGTGGCTTTTGCATTTCCTTTTTCTGTGGCCTAAACCAGGGCTTTCTGTATCAGGGCCCTTCTATGTGAAGCTAAATGCAAAAATTGTCGGGGAGGGGGGACGGGGGGGCATTTTTTAGGGAAAGAGCGAGTTGTAATGACCATGAAAAGTTTAAAAACCACTGATCTCTGACTTGGGACTTTTCTGTTCAGTCTTGGTTCAAACAAGATACCAGAGAACTGATTGATTATGATCACTAACTGATGGATTGGTTATACAGATACTTAAGATTGTTAAGATTATTGCCAGATCACTTGGGCTGGCATTTTGGATGTTATTAGACTGACTTTTTCCCTATTTACGTAAAAAAGTTTACTTGCATACCGTGGGAGGAAATAGCCCCCAAAATGCCTTTTAGGAAGGAGAATAGGATGAAGTCCATGTTCTTGTGAAAAAATACTAACCACCGTGGCTTTCTGGAACCTGAGTTTATGATAAAAGCTTAAGTTCTGTCACATCAGAAGGGAACTGAAAACTTAGCAGCAACAAGGAAGCAAAAAAATGAGAGTACAGGCACAGACCTTGACTTTACACGTGGCCACTTTGTAGAGGGAGGGCCCATTAGTGCTGTAACCTGACACACTGCCAGGGCAGGGACATGCCACAACAGAGCAGCTGAAGTTCCTGATGACCCTGACTCATTCTGGGGCGGGGGGAGGGGAGTCAGCCATGTGTTTGCCATTTCTGCTTCCTCAAGCTTGAAAGTTAGTAGTCCATTTTGGAAACATTTCCACCCAAAGTGGCTAAAGTTGTACACAAAGTATCACTGTGTTAAAAAGTTGACACCTTTTTTGGGAAAAGTTACATGGAACACATTTTCCCTGGAAACCAGAAACCTCCTGAAAAAGAGACATTTTCCACTTTATATAGACAGGTTTCTCTTTGGTGCATGTGATCTTTGGTGACTGGTCACTGTGATAATCAGATTTTATCCTTTTTGGATAAGAAGAAAACTTCACTAGGCTCTCTGTTAAATGGAAGCCAACCTCCCCACCCCATATTCAGTTTTTTCTGTTTTTTTATTTTTTAAAACATTTATTTATTTTTGAGAGAGAGAGAGAAACACAGAATCCGAAGCAGGCTCCAGGCTCTGAGCTGTCAGCACGGAGCCTGACGTGGGGCTCGAACCCATGAACTGTGAGATCATGACCTGAGCCGAAGTCGCACACTTAACCAACTGAGCCACCCAAACGCCCCAGTTTTTCCTTTAAATAACTACTTTAACTAGATTTGATTTTTTTTTTTAAGTTTCCCTGCTGTGTTTTTTTTTTTTTTTTTCTTCAAACGTGTTTTTAAAGATTGTAATCAATGTAGTAATGAGGATGCTATTGAAGGACGCTATTTGGGGTTAAGAAGCTGAAGCCCGAACATATTAAATGTAACTTCTTCCCCCCCTCAGGGACTGTTGGAGTCATCTGTGGAGAAGGCCCCCGTGTCTGTGGCCTGTGGAGGGGAGAGCCCCTTGGATGGCATCTGCCTCAGCGAATCCGATAAGACAGCTGTGCTCACCCTCATAAGAGAAGAGGTAAAGGCCCTCATGTTCTGTCCACTTATCACTCCCATGTCTTTGTCAAGCCCATGTGCCAGCAGGTAGATTCCATCTCTGTTCGGCTTGAGTTATCCCCTCCTGGAAGTTCCTATTTCCTGCAGCTTGTTGAGCTCATATAAAGGGCTCCCTGTAAACTCTGCATTGGTGCTAGAGTCCCGACATTCTGGTGTCCTGGGGACAAAGCCGACAACACTTCTTTATCTTTCAGCCTTGAAGTTTTTTAAATATCAAATTCTGCTGACTCTACCCACATATATAATTAAATCAGTGCCTTCCTTTGACAGATATGATATGTTCATGCTTAAGAATTTCTTAAATTTGCAATAATATAAGATGTCTCTTACTTTCATCCGTTCTTTAAACAGTTCAATTCTTTAACTAAACAACTTCAGTTCTGTGTTGAAAATAGATTACTGCTAGATCTTTCCTGGATGATCTGAAAAAATATGAAAGACGCTGTTGCCCAGTTACCACTCTCTCCCATTATATTTCTAGGCTGTATTTTGTATGTTTGGTTTGTGCATCTCTTGTTGATTCCACCTTTTTTTTTTTTTAAAAGAAGGGAATTCCCTTGCTGTAGCAATTTTATTTTCATAATATAATAGGAATAGTTAAGAGCCTCTGATGTCAAGGCCTTTTAAAGCTTCAAAAAATAGCATTAAGTTGATAATGAGGGATGTCAGCTGGCCCTGTTGTCAGAACTCGGGAGCAGTGGTGAGGAGGCCTACCAAAATCTTGTCAATGAGAAAAATGACCCTATCTTCCTCCTGAGAGCGAAACTGTGAGGTGATGCCCTAATGGAGCAGAACAGGCATGTGCCTTGTCACCTCAGGCAGATGGGCTGGCTGCTAGCTTCTTGAGACCCTGACTAAAGGCACAAAATAAAGAATGTACCAAATAGAAAGAGAGAAGCATAGAGACGTAGAATAAAAGGAGGGCAGTGATGCCCTTCTAAGCTGTGCCTAGGCCCACAGAGTTTGAGGTAATGAGTTTAGAGTATTTCTTCCCAGTTAGCAGGGGCACCCCAAATAGGAATATGGGTTCTGGTCTGACAAGCAAGATCCTGCCTATGGTGAGATGGGTGCATCTGGCTAAAGGATTTGAACTTCTGAGCCCCTAGTTGTGACTTCATTCTTATCAAGCAGAGATCTCTATAGGAAGAGAATGTGCTGGTCATGCTAATGCTCTGATTTTTCTTATCCTAAGTAAAATCAGTATTTTGGTTAAGGCGCATCTCTGCCAGGCAGATAGCTCTTCTTTTGGTGTCCTGTCCCAGTCACGGTTTTGGGCATGCAGAGCTGAGAGCAGACCCTGGACCCTGGCAGAATTCACATAGATTGTGATTATCACTTGGAATCTTCCCTGGGGGATGTTCTGTTCACCCCTACCTTGGTGGCTACATTTCTGCCATCCTGTGTGGCAGAGAGAACATTTTTCCAGATGCTTGTGAGCATTATACACAGATGTTGAGGCTTTATATTCCTCATGGAGCTCAAATGTCTTGGGATGCACCTGGTTGCGTGTCGTTTTCAGTTTCCAATCTTAAATTCAAACTGTAATAGATTCAGTAAAACCAAGCTCTATCTCTATTATAATTTAGATAATCACTAAGGAAATCGAAGCAAATGAATGGAAGAAAAAATACGAAGAAACCCGACAAGAAGTATTGGAGATGAGGTTAGACTGGAGGTTTGGGGGAGGGATTGGATACCTTTATGCATTATTAGATTTCATATAAATGAAGTGATGAAAGTATTTACTTACCACAGAACCTGGTGTTGAGAACTTGAGGGCATTGATATTTGCACTTTAATTTGTGACTGTGACAGCATCTTTTTATGAGGATTGCTGACCAATTATTCACATACGGCAGCTTCTTGTGGGATGTTGAGAACATTACATGTAAGCAGAACCCACATGATTCTTGTCTTTTGAAAAGACATCAATTTGTGCAAAGATATCCATTTGAACTGAAGAATAAGATTTATCGACATACTCGATTCTGGAGGCATTATAATCTATAATGCTTTTCTCAAATTAATTATGCATGATGGCTTCAACTTTCATCACCATCAAATAGATTATAAAAAGCATGTTAACCGGAAACAAAATTGATTGACCTTAAATTGAAATCTTTTTTATTTTTGCTGCTCATTCCCTAGAATGGAGAGTTAGAGGCTGTGAAATAACTGAAGATAGGATCAAAGAAGAAGAAAAAAGCATAATTTCTACATTTGTGTAGTCAGCACTTGAATGATTAAGACATATTTTAAATATGCCCGCTCTAACTTGTAGCTCTTGTATTACTTGTATTTTGAGCATTTCCTGGGTGTGAGGTCCCATGCCAGGTGTGGCGGAGAGGAAGGGACAGCCCCTGCCCTTAGAGAGCTTACAGTAGCCATCATAAAGGACTTGGATGCAGGGTCACAGTGATGGGCACCACCAGTGACAGTAGGGAGGCACACAGGGAAGAGCGCCAGTCCCTGGACAGGGTTGGCAGGGTCAGGGAAACTTTATGGCACTTCACTGAAAAGAAAGGTTAACATGACAGGGTGATCTTTAAAGTCTTTGAATAACTGAAATGCTTTTGGAACTGAGACCGTAAAATAAAACTTGTGACTGAATTAGAGGGGGCAGGCTGCCCAAAAGGGTAGATTTGTTCATTTGAACATCATTCAAGTACTTATTTGTTGAAATGTTCATTTGTTAATGTGTTTAATTGTTTGGGGCAGCATTTCAGGAACGTCTATTGAAAAATCTCTTCTGATAATTTTTTTTTTTTTTTAAGGAAAATTGTGGCTGAATATGAAAAGACCATTGCTCAAATGATTGGTAAGGACTTTTTTTATGTGTGTGTGTGGTGTGAGCCATAGGTTCCGTGGATGGTTTTCAAATCAGAACACAAGCTCGAACATCACCTAGATCCGGTTGATTCTCACTGTTCGCAGTGGTTGTGTTCTACAGAGTTGCCACAAACACAGCGAATGCTGAATACTGAACCATCGCTTTAGGGAAAGTACAGGGTGAGGTTGCTGCGGGCCTCTGGTCACACCATTTTTGTCAGTACATAACCTTGTCTTATGTATATTTGTTTAAAGACATCTCATTTAATGTTGACTCGTTACCATTGAACTCCTGGCCCACAGTGCTATCATTCATGCCTGAATGAAGATTATCGGATGAAGGTGTTTTCTCCATAAGGCACATTACAACCTTAGGAGCACTAAACAGCACTTTGGCCCTCCACTTGGGGGCCATTTTAAACAGCAAAAATCACCAACAGAAAGCACAGAAATGCAGAAAATATCATGGTGTACTAAGTAGACTGAAAAGGACACTTGTTTACAGTAGGAAACAAGAAGGCAGTGTCACCCTGATCAGCCTTGGCTTGGAATGTGCCTGTCAAGTGACTTAAATGTTTTGCCACTCTGCGCATGACCGGGAATGCACCACAAGTATTGATTTTGGGTTTACAAATAAATTTTAGCAAGTGGATGAATTCACAAATACACAGTCCACAAATAATGAAGATAAGCTGTAGTTACGTTCATTCAGAGGCCAGCAAATGCTTGAATTGTGTGAAAAGCCCTCCACCTGGCCCCTAGAGTGTTGATGGCCTAGCCACATCATTAGTGCACCGCCCCCCCCCCCGCCCCAGTGGGATCTTCGTTTTGGCTCAGTGTCCTTAACTCTGCCACAAATCATATTTCCCTCATTTAGACCCACTGGTACCTTTTACAAAACAACAGTGGTTGGTTCTCTTATTCCACTGAATTTGGAATAACTGAGTAGCCAATATCAGCAGGACTGACTGCCTAAGTCTTTCTCTACTTAAAGCACTTCTTAAGCACTAAAATCATACTTTTTACAGTCCATATCACCTCATGCCTTCCCAGCATGGGACCTTTGCCATTGCTGTTCCTCTGCTGGAATATTCTCCTGGGTAGCTGCACAGCTCCTGCCCTCCCTCAGCAATTTTGGGTCCCTGTCAAATCTTTCTTCTGAGAGAGGTCACTCTATATGAAAACGGAACCCCCACCCTTCTTGTTCTGCTTTGTTTTTCCCCCCTCACTTGTCAGCAGCTGTCTCCCCCACTAACCTAAGTCCTCGAGAGGAACTTTGCTATGTCTGCTGCCGGGGCCCCCCACCAAAAATACTGCTTAGCTGACAGAGGGCAGCCGCTAACAATCTGTTGAATGAATATGCCATTACTTTTGATTGTGGTTCACAGAAGATGAACAGAGGACAAATATGACCTCTCAGAAGAGCTTCCAGCAACTGACCATGGAGAAGGAGCAGGCCCTGGCTGACCTTAATTCTGTGGAAAGGTCCCTTTCTGATCTCTTCAGGAGATACGAGAACCTGAAAGGCGTTCTGGAAGGGTTCAAGAAGGTAGCATGTCCTTTTCCTTTTGTCTCTGTAGTAGTGTATTTCCTTGGTAATGGATCTTTAAACATGTATGCCAGAGGTGTGGGTAGCCTTCTGAACGGGGGTTCGGGGCCCATGTATCATTGGTCTTGTACCTTCTGTTCCAGTGAAGCTGGAGATTTTCTTTTCCCTTTTTTCTTTCTGTGGTGGTTCAGGCATCTGGCCCACCGGGTGGCATGTTTTGGTCATTTCCTCTCCTGGGTCAGGCCACAGCCAGAGTGTGGCATGGAGTAGAAGAAGTGTGGAACCTTCAGACCTTAGGAGACTTCCAGAAATTGTTTTTGATAATTCCCCAATTTAATATTAGTAGAAGGAAATTTTAGCCCTGAAAAATTCAGGCTACATATTCTAGAAGAAAATAAGTATAATGTTTCAGATTTAGCTTGTAAGTGGGCATATTCAACTTAGTTGCATATCATCAATAAGATACATTTATAGCAGTGAACATTCTTTATTGTTTCCGTAGGAAAATAAAAATGAGACTGCCTAGTTTCCCTACAATGAGACTCAGAATGCCTCCCTAAACTAGGTTTATCGGGTCACTGAATCTTACTGTGTTTTGAAAATTTATACGCAAAGAAAGTATCCAGAATTTCTTCAGTAAGAATTACATGTGCCTGTTTTGAATTATCAGAGTAGAATTTAAAGGCATTTGAAGTAATGAGGTTTTCTCATTTTAAAAACAAAAATGAAAACTCTGATACATGGGATGTCACTAGTTGAAGAAAGATGAAATGACCAGTTTTTTTTATTTTAAATTGTCACTTTGGAACAGAATGAAGAAGCCTTGAAAAAGTGTGCTCAGGATTATTTAGCCAGAGTTAAACAAGAGGAACAGCGGTATCAGGCCCTGAAAATCCACGCGGAGGAAAAACTAGACAAGTGAGAGCTCGCAATGAGATCTGTTTCATGTTTTGTGATGTTGTGGGGAGATTGAGAAAGGCCAAAAAAACCACCCAATGTTGTTTTGCAACCCTAGGTTGCATTGGTGTGTGTGTGTATGTTTTATTATTTAATTTTTTGAATAGTATCTTCACATTAAACATTAAAAAGAATAGAATAGAGATCTATAGGATCTCTCTCCCACCCTTTCCCTTGTCCCTGGCTCCCCCGCTTTCCTCACCCAGGTGATCAGTTTTTGGTTCCTTCCATCCCCTCAGATAAACTTTTTCCCTTCTTCTCCCCTGTCCTAGCTAACAGCTCCATCACACCACATGATCACCTTTTTTTTTTTTTTTTAATGTGATGAGAATCTCCTTTTTTATACAGATAACAGCATACTTTGCATTGTTCATTTAGTGCTATATTTTGGAAACCTTTCCATGTCAATCCATGAAGAGCTTCTGTATTTTTCTTAGCCTCCATATGGTGTTCCAGTGTTGCAATGTGTCATTTATTTAACCAGCCCCCTCCTTCTGGACACTCAGGGTACTTGCCATCCACTGTGAACAGTGCTGCAGTAGGTGACCTGGTATGGTTCTCATTTGGCGTGCATGTGAGTTATCTATATGCTAGAAAAAGGATTGCTGGGCCAAAGAACATACAGGTTTATCATTATGATAAAAAGTGTCAAATTGCCCTCACCTGATTTTCATCCATTTATCCCTAGGCTAGGTGTGCGAGCATCTCTTGTCCTTATGGCTTTGCCCACAGATCAAATTTTTGGTTTTCTGTAAACCCAGTAGATACAAGATAGTATTTCAGTTTAGTTGGGGATTTCTTTTTTTGACAAGCAAATGGAGCATTTATTCAATGTAGTTTTGATTGTTGTTTACCTCATGGAATTGAACCTATTTGAGCAGCTATCTGTACGCATACTTTCTGTACCGTGAATGACTATTCTTTGCCTGGTTTTCTATTGTCAGTTTATATATTATTCATCTGTAAATATATTATTATATTTATGTACTAAGGATGCCGGCCTTTTGTGATATGAGTCTTGAATATTTTTTCTAGTTTGTCTTTTGGCTTCTGGTGTTTTTTGATATGCAGAAATCTGTTTGTTTTTATGTAGTGAAATTTATCAGTCCTTTTATGGCTTCAGGATTTTCTGTCATGGTAACAAAGATCTTCTCTGCTCTGAATATAAAATATTCTCCCATGTTTTCATTCTAGTACTTTTATGGCTTCATTTTTTTAATCCTTAAATCCAACACGTTTGGAATTTATCCTGGGGAACAGTCTGAAGAATGCATCCAACTTTATTTTTTAACTAAAAAGTAATACTTGTACATTTTGCTGTCTATCTTCATATTTGTAAAACGTTTTAAGTTCCCCTCTCTCATTCCCACCCCCAGAGATACTACTATTAAAGGTTTATTAACAGAAGCACCTGGATGGCTCAGTTAGTTGAGCATCTGACTCTTGATTTTGGCTTGGGTCATGATCTCATAGTCGTGGAATTGAGCCCCGCATCAGGCTCCATGCTAAGCGTGGAGCCTGCTTAAGATTCTCACTCCCTCGGGGCGTTAGGTGACTCAGTGGTTAGGTGTCTGACTCGGTTTGTGGCTCAGGTCATTATCTCACAGTTCTTGGGTTCAAGCCCCATGACAGGCTCTGCGCTGGCAGCATTGAGCCTGCTTAGGATTCCTTGTCTCCCTTTCTCTGCCCCTTTCCCTGTTGGCTGTTTCTGTCTCTCTCAAATAAATTTAAAAAAGATTCTCTCTCCTTCTGTCCCCCTCCCCGGCTGGTGCATGTGGGGATGCTCTCTCAAAAAAAAGAAAAAGCTTTATTGTGTATCCTTCCAGTTTTTTCTTGACACCTTTATAAATACTACCCAACATGGCTTTGGACTTTTTTAAAAATAACATCGGAGTCATAGGATACAAATTTCCTTTTTCACTTAATAGTATATATGGCCCTTCTCCATGTCAGAACATCTAGCTCAGTCTAATTATTTGTGTTAGGTTGTAGGACTATTCCATTCCTTACTGACGGGCATTTATTTTTTTTTTTTAATTTTTTTTTTTCAACATTTATTTATTTTTGGGACAGAGAGAGACAGAGCATGAACGGGGGAGGGGCAGAGAGAGAGGGAGACACAGAACTGGAAACAGGCTCCAGGCTCTGAGCCATCAGCCCAGAGCCCGACGCGGGGCTGGAACTCACGGACCGCGAGATCGTGACCTGGCTGAAGTCGGACGCTTAACCGACTGCGCCACCCAGGCGCCCCACTGATGGGCATTTAGATAGTTGCACAGTTTTTCAGTCGTAAACACTGCTGCAGTGAACATCCTTATCCACAATCATTGTGCAACATGGAAGTACTGCTGTGGATACTTAAGTATTGCTGTGGATACGAAACGTAAGGGAGTTGCTGGGTCAGAAGGTGTATGCATTTTATTTATTTATTTTTAAAATGTTTATTCATTTTGAGAGAGAGGGAGAGAGAATTGCAAACAGGCTCTACACTATCAGTGCAGACCCCAGTGTGGGATCTCAAACTCACAAACTGTGAGATCATGACTTGAGCCAAAATTAGGAGTTGGATGCTCAACTGACTGAGCCACCCAGGCACCCCAGGTGTATGCATTTTAAATCCTAATAGTTACAGCCATCTCACTCTCCACGAAGACGGTGCCAGTTTTCACTTCCCCCGTCAGTTTGTGAGTCTGTTTCTTGCATCTCGACCATAATGGGATAAGATCATCCTAGTTAATATTTGCCAATCTGATAAATTTTTAAAGTTTATCATTTAAATTTGCATGCCTCTACTAATGAGTTTTTAGCATCCTTTCATCAATTAATTGGCCATTTATCAATTGACATTTGTAGTTTTAGAATTTTCTTTTGTATCTCATTAATAAAGTCACTTTTAGTTCTAGTGTCCTAGATGTCAGTGGTTAGCATCCTGACTCTTTGGCTGTGATAATCCCACAGATGACCCTGCCTGCTATTGGGTTAAAAAACAAATCTAAGATTGCTGTACAAAGTGTCACATGATTCCATTTTCTAGTGACATGTGAATTTTGAAGTCACTGTGGCCTATGAGATTAATTCTACCACTGGTTTGCACCTTGGAAATTTCCTTAGCAGTTGTGTATCCACTGAGGTTTTATAAATTTAAATGGAATGATTTGGGTCACCAGTTTTTCTCTTATCATGAAGCCCTGTTATTCTGTGTCTCACAGATGTCAGCAGTCTTGACTCCTTAGCTGTGACCTGTAACTAACCATGAGCTTTTTGTCCCTTTATTCCACAAACAAAACACCACAAACAGAGCCAATGAGGAGATTGCTCAGGTTCGAACAAAAGCGAAGGCTGAGAGCGCGGCTCTCCACGCTGGACTCCGGAAGGAGCAGATGAAGGTGGAGTCCCTGGAAAGAGCCCTTCAGCAGAAGGTACACAGAGGGGTGTGGGGTGACGACCTGTGAGACACGTGGTTTTCCTCTGTGGCCGTGGCTGGCTTGTGGTGGATTTGGATGAAAGAGAAACCTCGTGTTTTTGCCCAGAGTCAAACTTTGATCCAGCTGCTCTGGGAACTGATTCAGGTGGACACGAACAAGGCAGACAATGAACTCCCAAGCCTCTGAGTAGGAGCCATCCCCAGGCAGGATGCAGAGAGGAAGTTGCATTAACTAAAGGGGACAAGACACTTCTTAGGTTCCGAGGTTACCTTTTTTCTTTTTGTTTTTTATGTAATATATGAAGCCATCTTCCCCCTTGATTGCAGCTTTATCCTCCTGGGGACATTGGCAACATCTGGAGGTGGATTTAGTTGTCACGACTAGGAGATGCTACTGGCGTCTCATGGGTAGAGGCCAGAAGTGCTACTAAACATCTAACAGTGCACAGGACAGTCCCTACAACAAAGACTGACACGGCCCAAAATGCCAGTGGTGCCGCAGTTGAGAAATTCTGCTGTAGGTAAATAAAAATCAGGTCCCTATTTCTCGCTACTCTGTGATTCTTAGACTTCATTTTTTTTGTGTGTGCCTCTAGTGTTTTTCTTTCTGTGTCTCCAGTTATGTGCTCACGTGTATGGCATCCCTTCAGCTAGGGCGAGGGTTTCGATCTTGAGGTCTGCTAACCCCTAGACAGTGTTCCCTGGGATTACTCAGACTCCAGAATACTTGTGTTTTTACCAAGTGTCACAGGTAATTCCCATGATAACAAGAGAATTGGGGAACTGAGACGATTATGGGCAAGCTGCAGAGGGCCGGTGGTCACCCTCATCCCCTACTCATGACTTTATGAACACGACATAAAGTTCATGACTTTATGAACACGCATGACTTTATGAACACGACACGAACATTTTTCAGGGGACAAGATTCCCTTTCTTTAAAGGGTCTCTGACATAGGAAAGTTACCAACCACTGAGTCAGGATGTCTAGGCAAAGTGTGGCCAGTCTTGGGACTATTTGGGTGTAATTGCCTTGATCTCAGGATGCAAAGTGGCCTACATCACCATGTCATTTGTCTTTCAGAACCAAGAAATAGAAGAACTAACGAAAATCTGCGATGAGCTGATCGCGAAGTTGGGAAAGACTGACTGAGTCTCCCCCTCGTTAGCTCAGCAGGTCTGCATTTGGCTGCTTCTCTCTTAACCACAGTTATCTTGCCTTATCCAGGAAAAATTGCCCCTTTGCAGAGAAAAAAAAAAAAAAAAAACTTTAAAAATAAGCACATGCCTACTGCTGCCTGTCCCGCTTTGCTGCCGACACAACAGCCCTGGAAGGATCCCTGGAGTATCGCACAGGCCCGGAAGGAGGGGCGTCTGACCACGGTCCGCTGACAGGTTCAGTCAGACGGGCTGCTAAGTTTAGGGTCATGATTTCTCGATCATCTTTAGTCCATTTAAAAGTCTTCTTTTCTTTTCCAAGCTCGTTAAATTTGGGATTTTGTGCCTACTACTTGGGCTCATCTCTGTCCACCACCTGTCTAAGTTTTTTGGTGACCTATTTATTTCATTTTTGAAATTTAATGTTCAACATTAGTGGTTTTATTTGGGGAAATAATTTGGCCTATTGTTATTTCTGGTTTATAAGCAAGAAGGGACTCTGAGTACTCGTTTATACACGCACACGCACACACACTTTTACATATGCTGCTCTTTTTTCTCTGAAGCATAGTCAAATAAGAGCTTCTCCACAGAAGACCGTATTTCCATAAATGTATAACCCTATCTTGAAATAGAATTGTGGCCTAGAGTGCCAACCTCAGAATTTAGGGAATGGTAGGTATAAAGACCCCAGACTCAGGTTTTACATCTGGGGGAGACTTTTTGCCAGTGTTTCATTGTCCTGGTGTTGGGACCCTCCTTGGCCTTGACAGGTGCGGCCCCTTTGGGGTCAGTCCTCAGATCACACGGCAAATGGCCCTGGCAGGCAGGAATCCCTCAAAGCTGGGGTTTGGCGAGTTGGTCCCAAAGCAGTTCAGTCTCCTCTGTTTCTGTTTGTTGCTTCAAAATCAACATTTACTCTTTATTTATCATATACAAAGAAAATCTACTTGTAAAAAAAAAAAAAAAAAAGGCTTAGGTGATCTTCTTTAGTGAAAAGGTAACTGTAGCCGCGGTAGCAGTTAGAAGGTGAAGAAGCAGTTTTTCACAAGTGTGTTGTGTTGTTCTTCAAAAAAAATTTTAAGGCAAAAAAATCCTTTCAAACTTAGATGGTAGAATTTTTAACAAAACAGGCTATAAAAATCATGTGAACCACTCCAAAAATCACATTGGTGATATTGTTGAACAAAGAGCATTGAGTCCCAGAGCAGAGGAGTGTGGGAGCAGAGCTGCACTCAAAACCAAACTCCTCAAGCTCTTCCTGTGCTTGGGTCACGGAGTGGGGGCCTTTAAACCCAAGATGGAAATTTTCCCCGTGATGCCGGTGAACTCCCCTCCATGTGGTAGGCAAAACCAAATCCATGCAGTGTTTTAAAGCACTCTTGTTGTCTTAATCTTACACTCTCTTCACGGTGATACGCACGCTATTCCGTACAAGTAAGTTTTCGTACCTTTCTTGTAAAACTCTTGCATGATCCAACTTCTGCAACAAATTGTGCCTCGTGGAGAACCTCTATAGATCTTCGAACATGCATTTTTTCTTTAGCCGTGTACTGTTCACATGGGTGCAATCTTCAGCCCCAGGGAGGTCAGTAGTGTCCTTTAAAGCTAGAAGTCACGTCTTACCGATATGCATTTATCGTAATTGGTGCTTAGGCTGTATTCTAAAGCCTATTGTCTTAATATTTTGTACAAAACAAGAATAGCAGAAATGATCTGTGGTTGGAGAAGTGACTTGACAATCACGTGGGCTTTGAAAGCAGTTCCATGTGGTCTCTGCACACGGTCATAGTGCCCATGGACTGCTCGTGTCTCCAGTTGCTGGAACTGGTTTCTGCTGCCAGTCCTCTGCTCCTAGGGAAATTAACTGTGCATTTTGCAGAACGGAACGTTGCTAAATCTTTTTACTGCTGTGTTTTGGTGAGACAGCCATGTTTATTTGTTTTGTATTGATCTGTTTTAAGCAAGAAAGGCTTACAGTGGTCTCCATTCTAAATCCATGGTCCTCCATTTAGGCTTCATGTGCATATTTAAAAAGTAGCTGTGTGTTAAAACCAAGGTGACGACAATCCTTCCCTAGCATGCTGGTGGAAGAGACCCCGTAAAGAAACCCCGGTGGGTGAAGTTGCTGCACAAGGATTACGAAAGGCCCTGGTCAAGTAACTTTTGCCACTGGCCTCTCGGCCACAGCCAGTACAAGGGAATGTTCTTCCTTCTCATTTAATAGATGGATATTCTCCAACAAGAATAAAAATGGAGCTGGCAAATCAAGAGAATATCCTGGGCTGAAAGAAGTTATGTTTGTTTCTCTTTAAAAATAAGCAAAAGCAAAAAAAAAAAAAAAAAAAAAAAAAAACCTTTCAAAATTTTGGAGAGTAAGAGTTTAGCCTAGAGCTTTGCTTCAAAGCATGTGAGGGCCATTACTTGTTGGGTAGGAGGTAGTAAATCCTGTCACAAGAGTGGGAAGCAGAGGTGAAGGGAAGCTGCTGTCCCAGATAGCTTTGGGAGTACCAGGTGATCAACCTTGTTGAGATTCGACCCAGAGCCATTTGTTTTTGACTTTGCCAAAATGTGGATAGATAGTCTTTATCTAGAAGCATTTTAATGGGAAGATTTAGTGTAAGACAGACCAGCCTGTCACTTGGTTGGCTAGTCAGTTACAGTCAGACCTCCTGAGATTTACTTTATTTGGAGAACCTCCTGTAAGCCAGTGACCTGCCCAAACCTTTTGTTCTGGAAATATTGAGAAGCCCAGTTTTCTCACATGGTTTCTAGTTTCTTCAGACCCAGCCCAAATTAGGAAGTGCAGAAGCACATGATAGTGAAAACCTCTGAGGATCTGGCAGCCTTCCAGAATGATATGGAATCCAAGGGAAGATTCGTGTTTCGTCCTGAAGCCTAGCTCAATTTGAATTTGATTTCCAGCCAGTTACCTTTCTACCTGTCCCACACTTTGTACGATCCTCACACAGATACTTAGCTATTTATGAGACAGCCCCGAATTAGCCCTGTTTATAAATGGGGAGCATAAAGTGCCCCAAATGTTCCTGGGCTGATTGAGCAGCCAGAGCAAAGCGCTCATTTTAAGTAAAGGTAACAGGAGGCCCATTGGTGGCTCTACGAGCTCAGAATGGAGTTTTGAAGAGCAAGCATCAGTAAGTCTTGTGTGCTGTGGTTGGAGGTGATTCAGCACATCCTTTGTTAGTGGAGTAAAAGCTCTAACTCTCCCTTTAATTTCCTTTGGTTCTTCACTGCGACTGGCAGCCATGGCCTGAATTACACGTGACTGCTGCCCCTGTAGTCTTCCTGTGACCGTGCGAGCTTGCTCTTGGACTTGGGGTTCTTACTTTAGCCTCTTGTTGGGAAGAGAGAAACTGGGTGTTGAAAGATTAAATGTTTCAGGCAAAGGATTTTAAAGTAAAGATGTATATATTCTGAAGAATTTAAAAGATAGCAGATTATTCTTTGCTTATTAAAGAGTAAATATAGTCTGGGAATCCCAGAATGCCAAGCCAAAGGTCTAAGAAGTCATCTTCTGTAAAGATTTTAATAATGTAGTATTTTGAGGAGACTTCTGTCCAAAAAGGTTTGACTGGCCTCCAGATTCCAGTGGTTTTATGAAGAGCAGTGTATCACTGAAACCTTGGTCTCCCACACAGTAAAGGTAAAAAGAACTGATACACTAGACAACTTCTCTCTGAGGGTCTCCTCTGGAAGGTACTGTAACAGCAGCATTTCCAGTGAAGACCCACTCCCTTGTGCCCAGAGCTAGCATTCTGGAGACTAAAGATTGCACTTTGCGTAGTTCTTCGTCCAAATGCGATCCCATTTCTGTGCCTCTTAGCATGCAGTTAGATTTGGACAAACAAGATTCCTAAGGAATGACTTTATTAACTATAATATGGTTACAGCTATTACATATAGATATATAGGTATATAGATCCTGGTTATAGTTCTAATATGGAGATGGCCCACGTGATGCCAGCCTGTGGCAGTCTGAATAATGCTTTAACCCATCTGGAGGAGGCCAGGCACAGCTGAGGTGTGGCTTGAACCTTCCCTGTATCCACTCTTCACTCTAGGGCCGTGAAGGTGTCACTTTGTCCCCCTCTGCCTTTTAGTGGTATCTGAAATACACAAGGTCTGCCCCAGTCACATTGTTAAACCGATGATCTGTGAAGAACTTCCACGTGGACATACGAAGATTTGAACTCCTGACCCCACCCCCTGTCCAGATACAGGGCATCCTGCGTTCCCAACCACCCCGCAGCTTCTTCCCAGCCCCTTCTCACGCCCGGGGACAGGATCCAGGCCTTCCTTTATAAACCTCCCAGGTAGCAGTAAGCTTGTCGGTGTCGCCATTAGCAAGCGTGTGTTTGCCAGTAGATGCCCATTTGTACTCACGTGCCAACAAGTACATGTCAGCTGCCCATCTGCTTCCGCTACGCCCCCTCGGGTGCCGGGAAGTGTGTGAGGAACCTCTCGTCGGGAGGTGTGAACGCTGCACTGACTACTGTCAGGATCGTGTCGTGTGGAATAATCATCTACATAAATTTTATATGCACAGTACTTCCCCTTTTATATGTCAGGTAAATATTTGTAAAAGTTATACTCACACAAATGAAATGATTATAATGATTACTAATATATTTTTTCCATGTTTCATTGCCTGAATAAAAACTGTTTACCACTGTTAGAGCTGGGTGTGTGAATGTTTTTCCCCTGGTTATAAGTCATTTTCTCCCCGAGCGTGAACATTTCTGACAGCCTTGCTTTTTTAAGAGCTCCATATTTCAGTCTAAAAATAGACAAGATGACATTTTCACTACACTCATTTCGTGAAATTTTATGCATTTGGTGGGGTGTGTAATTAAAACAAACAAACTTTGGAATTCAGACCTTGCCGTACAAATTTCCATGCCTTCGCATCTGTGCAAACAGAGTTTTTAATTGAGTGCTGCTTGGTTTTGCTTCGAGACTGCCTGCCGGCCCTGGCATTTTTCAAGTCCTATGTACCGAAGTCAGCTCAGCTCTCTGACTCCTCGGAGGACACAGGATAAAGCCAGAACTGCGCAAACGTTGCAGGAGAGCCCACAGGAAATAGTGGACGTTTTAGGTTTCTTCTAGGTTAACACCAGGAAAAACTTTTTCAGTACTGGCCAGGCCGCTCTCTGCTTACAGGGGTAGGGGGACTGGGCAGGACATTTCATGAGTTTGATTGCCGGAGAAGATCAATGAAAAGGCTGCTTACGGCTGCACTTCACAACCTGGTGGGGAACCACTGCGAAGGGTCAGAACACTGTCACTTTCTTACCGTTGGCCGCATGTAACACATCACAGCCTATGAAGTTCCTTCCTAAAAGGAAGGTTTCCCACTAGTGTGCTCCTGAACCGGCAGGAGGCGGCACTGGCTTTCGCTAAGTGCTGGTGATGGGGCGCCTGGGTGGCGCAGTCGGTTAAGCGTCCGACTTCAGCCAGGTCACGATCTCGCGGTCCGTGAGTTCGAGCCCCGCATCAGGCTCTGGGCTGATGGCTCAGAGCCTGGAGCCTGTTTCCGATTCTGTGTCTCCCTCTCTCTCTGCTCCTCCCCCGTTCATGCTCTGCCTCTCTCTGTCCCAAAAATAAATAAACGTTGAAAAAAAAATTAAAAAAAAAAAAGTGCTGGTGACAGTAGAAATCTCATCATTTTCTAAGAATTCTTGGGAAGAATAAGATGAAAATTACCTTTCTGCTCTTACAGAATTTTATTCTTAGGTAACATCAGACCAAAAGTTGTTTTCACACTTTTGCAAATAGGGGGATCATGGGATCATTTTAGTGAGTGACAATCCATATTTTCGTAAGAGAATCCACGACAGGAAGTAAGGAATCGCACCACGGTAAGTAGTGTTTCATGAAATCTGTTTCAGAAGTGTGTTGGCACAAAAACAGACACATAGACCAATGGAATAGAATAGAAACCCCAGAACTAGACCCACAAACGTATGGCCAACTCATCTTTGACAAAGCAGGAAAGAACATCCAATGGAAAAAAGACAGTCTCTTTAACAAATGGTGCTGGGAGAACTGGACAGCAACATGCAGAAGGTTGAAACTAGACCACTTTCTCACACCATTCACAAAAATAAACTCAAAATGGATAAAGGACCTGAATGTGAGACAGGAAACCATCAAAACCTTAGAGGAGAAAGCAGGAAAAGACCTCTCTGACCTGAGCCGTAGCAATCTCTTACTCGACACATCCCCAAAGGCAAGGGAATTAAAAGCAAAAGTGAATTACTGGGACCTTATGAAGATAAAAAGCTTCTGCACAGCAAAGGAAACAACCAACAAAACTAAAAGGCAACCAACGGAATGGGAAAAGATATTTGCAAATGACATATCGGACAAAGGGCTAGTAACCAAAATCTATAAAGAGCTCACCAAACTCCACACCTGAAAAGCAAATAACCCAGTGAAGAAATGGGCAGAAAACATGAATAGACACTTCTCTAAAGAAGACATCCGGATGGCCAACAGGCACATGAAAAGATGTTCAGCGTCGCTCCTCATCAGGGAAATACAAATCAAAACCACACTCAGGTATCACCTCATGCCAATCAGAGTGGCCAAAATGAACAAATCAGGAGACTATAGATGCTGGAGAGGATGTGGAGAAACGGGAACCCTCTTGCACTGTTGGTGGGAATGCAAATTGGTGCAGCCGCTCTGGAAAGCAGTGTGGAGGTTACTCAGAAAATTAAAAATAGACCTACCCTATGACCCAGCAATAGCACTGCTAGGAATTTATCCAAGGGACACAGGAGTACTGATGCATAGGGGCACTTGTACCCCAATGTTCATAGCAGCACTCTCAACAATAGCCAAATTATGGAAAGAGCCTAAATGTCCATCAACTGATGAATGGATAAAGAAATTGTGGTTTATATACACTATGGAATACTATGTGGCAATGAGAAAAAATGAAATAATGGCCTTTTGTAGCAACGTGGATGGAACTGGAGAGTGTGATGCTAAGTGAAATAAGCCATACAGAGAAAGACAGATACCATATGGTTTCACTCTTATGTGGATCCTGAGAAACTTAACAGGAACCCATGGGGGAGGGGAAGGAAAAAAAAAAAAGAGGTTAGAGTGGGAGAGAGCCAAAGCATAAGAGACTGTTGAGAACTGAGAGCAAACTGAGGGTTGATGGGGGGTGGGAGGGAGGAGAGGGTGGGTGATGGGTATTGAGGAGGGCACCTTTTGGGATGAGCACTGGGTGTTGTATGGAAACCAATTTGACAATAAATTTCATATATAAATTAAAAAAAAAAGTGTGTGTGTACTAGGTCATGACGAAAAACTAATTTCTTGCTATGGCTGGTGGTCGAAGTATGAAAAAACAGTCTACCGACTTAAGTCCTTTTGCATTTATAGAAACAGGCCTGGGGAGAAATGTGGCCAAGATTGTGCAGCACTCAAAATGGGCAACAAAATTGTCACTTCGTCCTTTTCAAGCTCTTTAAATACAAGACCTCTCATGTTTGGATAATGTAGGCATTTTCTAAGTTTATAGGTATATGAGGACCAAACAAAATGCCTCTTTTCTGCATGCATTTACCAAATAAGTATTTACCAAATAAATACTTCCTGCCTCTGCAGAGTTCAAAGTGAACCGTGCAAAGTTTCCACGGCTGGTTGGCAAAAGAGAAGTTGTTTTCACATTTGACTGAAAGTTCACTGAAATATAAGTGATATGCCGATTCAAATTTCTTTCCCAGCAGAAAGCCATTCCTAATCTACATTTCTTTGCCCGGTTGTGACTTGTAGGTTATCTTATCTAAGATGCCTGAGGATGGGGACACAATGGTGCTTACAGATAAATCTAACACCCCAAAACAGGACAAGAGGGCATGGAACTCTTACGTGCTGTGGCAAGCACCAAGTGCTGAAGGAGTCTGGGAGGAGAAACAATGTATCGGGAAGGACACACAAATCGTGTGGAGCACCAGGCCATGTAGACCAATATTTGGCTCAGACTGGCTTTAGATCCAGCCTCTCCCTTATGTCACCTGCCTGAGCTTCAGTTTTCCTAACTAGGGATAATGGGTTGCCACCTCCCAAAGAGGAGGTGAGGACTCTGTAGGAATGTACACACAGTGCCTGGCCCTTGGGTCCTTAAGGGATACTGATCATTATCACCTAACACTTGGAGTCGATGAACATTTCCAATGGAGACTCCCCCCTTAGATCCAAATGATTTTGCTAGGAGACATCTCTAACAAGGCTTCAGAAACTTCAGTTACCTAACTTTGTTCTTTTATTTGAGGTTAATAGGAAGTAGAAGTGTGGAGGATTCGCCGAAGACACATCCCAGAGTTGGGGTGATTGAGCAATGAAATGGGAATGGAAGCCGCTGTTGGTACCACAGACTGTTCCAAGCCCCCTCCCCTGCCCCCGCCCCCCCCCCCCCCACACACACCTGTACCAGCTGTGAAATGATAGATCTCTGATCTCTAGTTTTCCTTCAGCAGAATATGTGGGTCTTCGTGGGAATATATATTATGCAAGAACAGACCAAAGATAGAATTCAGTTAACAATTTCACTTTTTAGCTAATTTAAAGGAAAAGATAAATGACATTTGAGTCCTCTGTGCACCAGATAGGTGCCTTTACAAACATGTCACGTGAACAATTCCATGCCGGTGGAATTTTTTTTTTTAACCAATGGGGAAAATGAGGTTGAAGAACACTGGCCACGAAGGAGTTAACTGGAAGGTGGAGTTGGCATGGGAACCCAGGTCTCTGATCTCAAGTCCCATCCTCAAGGCCAACTCCATGTTGGGGAACACTTTGGAACGTACCCTTCAAGAGTGCAGAGGATGACCTTTCATTCACCAAATGAATTTTCTCGTCCTTTCCTTATCTCAAGTGGGAATATTTCAGCGGATGTCAGAGAAGCTGTTGCATAGTGTCCCCACAATTCAAGAGTGTGAGAACGTGAAACCTAGTCAGAGATGAATAATTGGTTACTGTATTGAAAGGCACTGTTACGGGAAAACAGAACTCCAGTTCTACCAGTCGGGCATCCTGGCGTTGCAGAAAGAGCTTGGCACGGGAGACGGAGCCATGGGTCCTAGTCCCGGTTTTTGTCAACTGCATTGAGTCAGGCCTCAACCCCCTCCTTTGGACTGAGAATGCTAGCAGGTCCCTTCCTCTGATTTCTGATTTCACAGGTCTGCCCAAAGTGCTGACTAGAAGGCAAAAGGTCTCCCGGTTTCCCTTTCAAAAGCGTTCTGGAAAGGCCTGTCTTCAGATGTACGGACAATAGTGGACTTGCCACAAGATGGTGGGTCCCAGGGGCTGTTTTCAGCGTCCACTGTGGCCGCAGCGTTCAGAGAGGTGAGCGCCAGCCCACATCACACAGGAAGGGAAAAGGCCTGGGCCCAAGTCCCAAGCCAACATCCAGGTTTGTGCTCATTTTCTCAGGCCAACTGCTCCAACCTAGGCCTCGGTTTTGTCCGCAGGATGAGGTCGGGTTTTATCCTCCAAGCATCTCCCAAGAGTGTATTACAGCCACTGTCCCCATCACGCCCATGACTCAAGCTGACCTGTGCTGAACAGTTCCAGGGCACCATGCCCACGGACTCAGGCATTGGGTTGTGCACCCTGTGGAGACAGCCAGCCTGTATCATCTTGCCTTTCTGAGAAAAA